AGTCTACCTGGGGAGGCCCAGGCTAGTTGATTTTATGTGTTCCAGCCCTGTGGGGGGATGGCAGGCGGCTGGCGCACCATTACAGGGGCTAGATCTAGGCAGGCCAGCCCCTGGACAATAGGTACCCCACTCTGATCTAAGGCATCATTTATAATACTTTCTAAAAACCCAGTTTACATTATTTATACTGTTTAAATTTGTCATTGGGGAAAATGAAAGTCAATTATGTTACTTTTTATTTAAAACAGGCAGTGTGACTATGCCATGATAAAAATCTGGCCATAGACCTTGAACACTCGTGCAGTGTTTAAAAACAAACAACTGGTTTTGCTCCTCCCCCCCTTTAATTTGTGTAAAGATTTCTATTGGTCTTAAATTCTTTGTAAAAAACAAGCTTTTGCTAAGCAAGTTTTTCCTCAAGTTCTTCCTCCACCCCCCACTCATCAAAAATGCCTTCACTCTTAAAAAAAAAAATATATGGCTTAATATAAAATTAAAAATATAAAATGTAAACAAAGCATATATAAAATCTCAAATGTAAACTAACAAGAAATGCAAAATCATAGTTTCACAAAACTCAGGCATGTATCCTGCAAATCCTTAAAAATTAGTGGACTACTTATACATTACCTATATTGCTGTACAGGTTTGACCTCCTGGGTCCAGCTCCCTTGGGAGCTGACCAGTCCCAGATGAGGGAGTTTTCTTGACCAGGAAAGGTCTTGGGAGTGAGGGGGAGGGGAGAGACCAACCTTTCTGCTGCCCCAACTACCAGCCAGTGCTGCCCCAGCCCCCTTGCTTCAGCAACCCCCTGGGCTCCAGAAGTGACCCTATGGACACTCACAGCCCCCACCAGCTAAGAGCCCTAAAGCTCCCCAGTCCTCTACCTGGCCCCGCTAGCTGTGGATTCCAGCGGCCCACCCCCACCCTCTGGACTCTGGTGGCTTCCTGGCCCCATTGGTTGTGAGCTCTGCTGCCCCCATCGGCTTCCCAACCCAGCCAGCTGCAGGTTCTGTTGTCCTACTGGTCGGCTCTGCTCCCAACCGCTAGCAACCTCCATGCTCTGGCTCCCTAGTCATCCATGGTCCTTCTAGACCACCGATGTTGCCAGACAATAGAGGTCCAACTTGTACTACCAGAGGTATCTTTGTGGTAGGTATACTTAACACTAAGCATAGTGTTATGAGGGAAAGACATACAAGTTATTGCTGCAGTTGGAACCATAATAGAATTTCTTTCATTTTAGAAAAAAAGTGACTGTATAACCACAAAAATTGGTTAAATTTAAACTGGCCTAGTCCATGTAAAGGTATGATGTCAAAGGAAATCAAATAAGCTAGGGTCCCACTTCTGCACTATTTAGTATTTAATTCAATGTAGAAGGAAAAAAGTCTCACTTTTATATCCATCTTGTTGATAGGTTATGCGTGGCAGATTAGAGTAAATGCCACATTAGACATTCCTCATTAGTAATTGAATTCATTCAAGACAAACATTTTTCATTACTGTTTGAATTAAAAGATACAAAGTAAGAACTTGTTTGAATTGTGACTATGAAACCAAAACACGTCAGGAAATAGCATGGAAAAGCAAAAACTGATCCATCAGTTCATCTACCTCAAGCTCACAATGGGATAAAAACCTCATGTTTCTTTCTGAAAGTGGAATAACCTCAAATGACAGCCACTCTTTTCACTGTTTTAGAACCTCCTGTGTAGCACTCAAACTTAAGAATTCACTTTGTTACAAGAGGAAAATCTGAAGGAGAAAAGGGAAAAGACACTTGGGAAGCAGCACAGAACAAAATTAGATCACACACCCAAGCATCAGTAATAATTCCACAGGAGATAGATTTAAAAGGGGAGGCATGGAAAAGCAAGCTGGAAAAACTGCCCCAAGAATGCTGAAAACCTCTCAGAAAAGACCATAGCAGAAACCAAAAGGAGAGCAAGAATCTGCTGAATCAAAGCTCTCTTGCAAAGGGAGCTGTTCAGGGAAGCCACCAAGCCAAAGTCAGATGTTTTTGTGGCCAACACAGGCAACTCCCTTCCCCCTACACACATTAGAGACACTGAACTCACAGATCTTGGTACACTCCCAGATTCAAAGGAGAACCCACCACAAAATACTGCTGAAGAGGAATAGACTGTATGTGTGGGAAAAAAACAACTCCCCCCCCCCCCCCCCCAAGAACACTACCCCTAAAACTGGAAGTCTCCAATGCAGGAAGGGGCATGTTTACTAGATCAGCCAATCCCTGTCTAGGAGCAATTACTGTCAGAGCCTCCAAACAACTGAGCTGGCTACCTCCACAGTAGTGCTGCCCCAGAGGAGAACACAGTACATTTTGAACCATCATTTTGGCTCCAGGTACCTAGTGCCATCAGCGGGGAGGGGGTGTGGGTGGATGGAACACACTCATGCAGTCCCCAAAAGCAAAGCTTTTAGCAAAGCAGTATTAAGCTCAGTAACACTGGAGGGCTACATACCACAAGTGGGAATGTGCAGTGGCTACCTCAGACAGCTGAATGACATTCATGGTAAAACCATATGAGATAACAGAATCATTACTGTGATAAGTTACAACACATGTCTTAGGCTAAATCAGTGTACTGTACAAACTGGGAATTAGAACTAATATATACAAAACCTCTTCAGTGCTTACAATGAATACTCATGGATCTGTTCTGCCATGACATGCATTTAGAAAGACCACCATATATAAAAATTCATGTACAAAGTAAAATGTAGCTCAATTAAACAATTTTTATTTCTATTAAAGTAATACCCGATTTAAAGAGTAAATAGACCAAACAGAGTTTAAGACCCAGATGTCTTGTAACTAAAGATAATCTTATTTTAGGGTAATTTAGTTAGGTTTCAGATGCATTTTTCCCCTACCATTCTACTTCTGAGACTATAGTGTATTTCAGCTATCTTAAAAACTTACCTCTGAGCTGAATTTGTTTAACAAAAAAATTAAATTGAAGGGTGTGTATACATATTCATAATGCAACTGTAAATGAAAACAGCCTACCAGTTCTGAAATTTAAAATTTGTAGGATTTAGTGAACTTGAACTGATCCCAACTGAAACTTCATGAAATTCCATGTTCTACCTCTATAGAGAATTCATAATCAGACCCTCATGTGGCTTTAAAAAAAAAAAAAAAAAAAAAAGAACAAAGCCACACAACAACCCCATCCACCTTAAAATTTGCCAACTTACAATAAACAATGAAGTCCTGTGGCACCTTACAGATTTAAAAGGTGCCACAGGACTCCTCATTGTTTATGCAGATTCAGACTAACAGAGCTACTACTCCTCTGATACTAACTTACAAAGTAATTGGTTTTTTTTAAATGTTTTGTTGAAGTCAGAATGTATGTGCTTTTAATTTATGCTATATTTAAATGGAAATATTGTAGACAAATGTGATTAATACACAGAAACCATTAAGACTATACATAAAAGACTCTGGCACAGATTTGTGAAGACTTCACATTCCCTCCCTCATGATCTCTCTTTCAGAGAAGAATTTCTTAAAAGACCATTTAAAAGTCAAAATCCCCACTATAAGTTTCATTGTGGATAAGGATACACTTTCGTCTCCTCACAATCCCTAGAACTTCAGAACTTTTGGCCTTTCATCAACAGAAAACAAGAGACATTTCAATAGAATGGCAATGTTTTCAAAACCAAGAATGCCCATTCAAAACAGGTTTTAGCAAAGAGACAACTAGCAGAGATTTTAATATTATTTATTCATACATAGCTACAAAGGATGCAAACTCTCAGCAGCTGAACTCTAGTGATCAGATCTCTATCAAAGTTGCCATAAGTTGTCAGCACAGTAACTATCTTCTGTCCTCAGTTTCCATATACAACCAGAGTTTAACTGCTCCCCCAATCCATATCTTCCCTGCTCTCAAGGTTTAAGGGGAAAAAACACCTTCAAATCGCCAGGGCACATCCGAATGAGATGCAGAGTACTTAGCTCTGTTTCTAATCCTATGCTGCCCCCTGGAGGTCACCTCCTGCCTTCCTTGGACTATGTGAACATACATCCCAGTCCCTTAGAAGGATCCAAAGTCCCCATCCCTCCTAGCCACTGCTGCCAGAGGGATCACGGTCACCCAGCCCCCGCTTTTCCTCCACACCCAGGGAGGAGACGGGAACAGCCAGAGCCACTTCCTCTCTTCATCAATCCCTCTCTACCGGCCCGGCCCTCTTCAGCCCGGCGGAGCCGCCATGGGTCCCTTTAAATCCCCGAGCACCACAGGATGTCAGCTGTCAGAGAGCAGCGGTGGGCTGCTACCATCCCCGTGTGGGACCAGGGTGCCCCCCCGTGACACCACACCCAGGGAGGAGACGGGAACAGCCAGAGCCACTTCCTCTCTTCATCAATCCCTCTCTACCGGCCCGGCCCTCTTCAGCCCGGCGGAGCCGCCATGGGTCCCTTTAAATCCCCGAGCACCACAGGATGTCAGCTGTCAGAGAGCAGCGGTGGGCTGCTACCATCCCCGTGTGGGACCAGGGTGCCCCCCCGTGACACCCTCCGCACTGCGCTCCCCCGGGGATAGGCACACCCGGCCGCCGCCCAGCGAGGGGGGCACACGGCTGGCTCCCCCGCCCCAGGCAGGACCCCCCCCCGTCCT